CCCCTGAAAGCTGAATAAATCGACTAGGCCATTTGTAAAGCTCAGCGCTCAGGAAGTGATTCTGATGAACACCCAGTCAAGCAGTAGCCATATTTAAAATTCCATATCCAATCGAAAGTTAATAATAAATTTTTAAGCGACCAAAAAACATAAACCTGAGTAATAAATTGGAAAACTCTTGATTAAAAGTTATTTTATGGTCCGCCTAGCAGCAGCTTGTAAAAATTGATGCCACTTAAGCACTTAAAAGTAAGCCGGCTAATCCCCCTACTCTCCACCACCACCCCCTACAAACAAATGCAACGCTCGCCGCTGAATGCGCATCAGCCAACAAAAGCTTTTCAATGACTTTTGCGCCAACGGTGAAATTTATTGCGAATACTCGAATTACCAATAAAGTACGATTACTCGAAAATACAAACAATAAAAGCAATCAACTTCCGCTTTCGCATTAATGCAGCGACAAACAACAAAGCGCGTTTGAGTGTAATTAAAACTACGGCGTTGCATGAAAAAAAAATTACAGCAACAATTAAAGTGGCAAAACCAAAAACAATGCACAATACTCGTAATAATCAAGAATTGCGCATAAAAAAACGGATATGAAAGATTGTGCAAAAAAAAAGTGTGCCACAAAAGCGTGTTGCACGCTGCAATTATACGCGTGCGTTGCGCGCCAGCGATAAAAAAAAAACTAAAAATAAATAAATAATTGTGTAAACAACAACAAACCGGCAATGCACTTTAATTACTGCCAAAATTGTAAAGCAGCGCCTTCGCCTCTCCTAACCTCAACACCGCCCACCTTGGCTGGCTGGCTGCCTGCCTGCCTGCCTGACTGCAGCCGGCGCTGTGTCATATGCGCGGCTTGGCAAAAATTTACGGCCACGCAACTGCGCGTGCAACGCATAATCTGGCAACGCTGGCAGGCAATAATAATCAAAATGCAGTAAATATGCGAGAATTGCAAGCGGAAATGGATAATGCAATGGAAGGCGAGGAAGAGTGGCAGTGGGCGAAGATGGAAGAAGAGGAAGCGGCGCTGGCGGCGAAGACAGAACCACAACACGGCAACGCGGCAACAAAGTTTTAAATGCGCATAAATAATAAAATTGCAATAAAAAACAATGGGAAAATTGTGCAAAGGATGCCAGCAATGAAAGTAATATTGCTAACAGAATGGTACAATGAAGGGCGTAGAAACAAAGAGAAAACAAAATTGATAGCGGAAAAATATCGCAAAAATAAATCGAACGAAAAGTTGCATGAAAAGGACCGTCGTTGCTTGTGCAAGCGCGTGTGTGTATTTTGACTGCTTCTCATCAACTTCCGGTTGCAGGCGGAGCGGCGCGCCAGCCAACTTATTTAATGCGAAAGTAATTAAACAACAACAACACACAAACAAAGACCAACTACCTTGCACAACAATTGCCACAAAAGTGATAAGCGCAATAAAATATCACACACACACACACACACATGTACATGTACACATGCAAATAAATTATAAATTGACTGCAAGAAGACGAGAGGACGGTGAGCGCTAGGGACCAAGCAGGAGCACAAACAAAATGAGCGTCCACTCGGCAAGCCGCGTGGAAAGCTGAAGTGAGCCACGTGCTTTGGGGAAATATCGATTGGTCAACATCACTGATGTGAATTGAAATGAAATGAAATGGAACGGAAAACTCAAATACGCATAAATTACAGGCGACCGCATCAGTGGGCTGTAAAATAAGTAGGGACGTCAGTGTCCTTAGGTGGGCTTTGGCTCAAATGTTTTGCATTCAATTATAGGATCAGAAATTTTCAAAGATAAGAACATCTGTCACAACTTGAAAGGAACTTCTAGTCGTTATTTTCACAAATCATGCTCATAATATACTTTCGGGAGAGAACGACATCTTCTAGAGTCATTTCAGTAGAAACCTACAGCTCCTTAGCTCAAAGGATCTAAATGTGTAGGCTTTCAGATTTATCCTTACTTTTAATCCAGACTGCACGATGCCTCTCTATGCAAACTGTAATTTTCGTAGTCTTCGAACAGTGCCTTCCTAATATTGGTATCTCCGCAAATAACAGCTGGCTTGTTACGATGGTGTTTTGTCGTAGTCATGTTTTTCTTTTTCCCTCGCTCCTAACCACCAAAAGGTCTTGTCTCAGTAGGTGTCGACGAAAAATATCAAACCAGGAAAAACTAAAAGCAGCCATTGATCTCTGCACAACTGAAAATACCATCACCACATCGAAAAGCGATGGTCTGCTATGTCGTAGGCTAATATAAGGCGACCTACACAGCTTTGTTACTACTTTCCGGTATCCGCTCAGCCGAGTGAAAGGAAGTAAGGGGAGTAAGTCAAAGCTTAGTCTAAGCATCGTGCTATTCGGTACACAGATAGATAGACAGTTGACCAGAGGATGAAAGGCCTTTGTTTAAGCTTATCATTCGGCGTTTTCTCGGAGCTGAATGATGCCAAAGCGATCTATAACGAGCAGGCGTGGGAATCATGTAAATTAGGTTCCTTTTTCCATTAAAAGCCGCTTTTTCGCGCGCGACAGGCAGGAGTACTAACCACTATACTATCGAGGAGTTAATCTGGAAAGTTTGAAGTCAGCGTAAGCAACGAACAACTGTTCAATACTTTGGCTATCAGTACAAATTGTGAGCCCAAAAGGAGCCGTGGGTTTATCAAAACGGCTCAGCCGAGAATAGAACCCCACTCTTTCTACCAAAGCAGTTATCTCTAACTTCGAAGAGCATGAATTCATGTTTCTTCGAGGCAAAGGATGGTATAGAGACAAATACATTTGTACTTTTGTACAAAAGAGGCTTATTTATGCACATATGTATGCTTGTATCCCAAGGAAAATATTTATTTTTAAGCAACTACTCACACACTCACAAACAACGCACAATTGGGCAGGAAGAGATACATACTTCGAAATGCCACTTGCCACAACGGAAATATGCTGTGGCAGATAATAAATACAAATTGCTTGCTCTCCGCGCGACTTAAAAGAAAACAGCTGAATGATCAGAAAAGGGAAGGATAGTTGCGGAAGAAGCAATACTTGCATATATAGAAAGCTATCTGCACATATGTATGTATGTCTGTATGTACATACATATGTAGCTATTTTTGCTAGTAATTCCATACATTTCCATATGTACATACATACATACATATGTACGAGGCTACCAGTAGGCATGTGTGTCCAAATGCTTGTGGCTAGTGTTCAAATTTTGTAGTTTCAAATTGTGCAAAATTTTCTATATTTGTTATATCTTCTAAAAGTATATATTCGTACTTCGTTAGGTATGTACTTACATATGTATGCACATACTTATGTATGTGTGTATGTATATTTATTTAACTATATTTTCATATAAGCAAAGAAATTTGCATAAATTTATGGCAAATAGCCAAGCTTGTGATTTATTTGCGCACAATTGCAATAGCAAAAATTGAAAATGAATTTCCTGCAATGCAGCAGGCCGCATAAAATTTAATGTAATTTAATTTATTACAAAAAGAAATTGAAAAAATATTTTATGTATCGAAAAAGAATCAAAATGATATTTTTGGAGAATGTTTGAGTGGCACTGCAGAAGCCTAGCCGAAAGTATCTACCCAGCGCCTAGATGTATGCAACGTTTGTGAATGAAGTTTGTATAACATGAAATGATTAGCAAGAGCTACACTTGGAAAAATTGGAAATTGAGACATAGCGGGAAAATTTTGATAAACATTTTTTCCAGGTCAGGTTTTAAATTTTTAATTTTTTTCCGTTATTCGAAATTAATTCTGTTTTTTTGATAGTGCATTTCCGAATAGTTGTTTTTGCAGTTCGCTTTTAAACAGGTTTTACATTTTAAATTTATGTGTCAGTTATTTGATTTTTTTTCGATGGTGCATTTCCGAGCGCTTCTTTTTGCAGTTTGCTTTTAATCAGTTCTTACATTTTTAATTTCTTTTTCGGTTATTCGAAATTTTTTATGTTAAACATTCCTGAACGCTTTTTTTGCAGATTTCTTTTAATCAGGTTTTAAATTAGTTTTTTTTTTTCGTTATTCGAAAACTTTGTTATGATGCAGTTTGATTAAAAGGTTTTACATATTTAATTTATTTTTCTGTTATTCAAAAAATTTTGTTTGGTGGTGCATTTCCAAACGTTTCTTTTTGCATTTTGCTTTCAGTCAGGTTTTAAAATTTAAATTTTTCAAATTTAACTTGTATAATTTAGTGAAGGCTTCAAGTAGGTACATTGCCTATTCAGGGGAAAAATTGCATGAACTTTGAATTGAAATAATTTAAATATTTTTTAAAGATTTGCGCTTAAGCATGTGTTGGTATTTGGCCAAGCTTCTCCCCCGATTTGTGGCGTGCGCCTTGATGTTGTTACACAAAGTAGAGGAAGCTACAGTTTTACAAAAGTACATAAATTTATATTTTCTAGCAAAATTCCAACAAAGATAGATTTCTTTTTAATATCGTACGTAAAACATCACGTTGGCTTGCGAAAATTTAACAAAGTCCAGCATAAAGCTATTTGCTGGTGCTCCGTTGCGTTTTAAGGTACTCAAATAATCTCGTAAATAAATATCTTAAGTCTTTGGAGGCGCTAAATTACTACGCAAACGTATAGGAGGTAAGAAAGGAAAATGTATTTCCCTATGACGTATTTTTTTCAAATATCGTATATTATAAAGTTACATTTTAACCAACTATTTTGCTATCTTACGCTATATCGAAGATTTTTATCACACACTAATACAGTTTTAGCAATTTCTATACCGGAAGCCAATATCGTAAAAAATTTTTGATAATTACAAAATTAAAATATATCACATTTTTGTACTCACCGAATTTCCTGCCTTAAACTTTGGTCTCCTAATAAAAGTTCAGTTCTTCCTTTTGATATGCTACTATTTGGACTACTACTTTTTAATTGTTGTATTTGTTTATCGTATAAATTTGTTGTATTATTTAGCAAATCGTTGCTACTACTGCCGACGACGCCGCCGCTTTGTGTATTGATATTATTGTTGTTGCTATTTGCCGCATCCGTATCAAAGTGTCGGCCATCGTCATTAAGTGTAGTTAGTAACTGCAATGAAAAGTGGAAGAGATAGACATGAAAGCGTGAAACTTGTTGGAATAATTAGAGAGGAATGTCAATTTGCAAGCATAAAAAGGGAATTAAAAAATTTCAATAGAATTTAATATTCAATAATAAACGAGAAAAACGCTTAATGGCATTAATTAAGTAATTTGAAAACTAAGCAAATGAGTGCCAGTGAACACTTTAATGAGTGCCAGTGACACACATGCAATTTTATATAAGTACATGTATGTATGTGTTAAAATTTATAAAACTAAATTTTTCACATTGATTAAAAGAAATAAATACAACAAACTTGTATCACTAAAAAGTTATATCGCATGCCTTTGGCAAGCGGTAGTAATCGAGATTTCGAATTCATGCGATAACTTAAATGAGCGTAAGTACTCAAATCTGCCGCTGAGTGCTGACAAACTCAATTTGACCCCTTTCAGCAAAGTGTTTGACCTCTGCTTTACATTTATTGTAGTTTTAAAAGCCACTTTGTGAACAGTTATTTGTCGTCGAAAGTGATGACTTGAACTTAGCACCCCTCCAAAATGAGTTTAATTCTCTTTATTACAAAATGCACAGATGTCAAGCGCAGTGCATATAAACCCCTTTCCCCTTTTCGCTTCTTACCCACTTCCATACAAATTGGCAGAATTCACAGCTAATTAATCATTAATTGATTGACTGAAAAGTGGTGTTGGTATTCAGCGTCACAAGCATTCGCTTTAAATTTTCACAAATTTTTTGGCTGCGGCAGGGGAGGGTAATCGATATTTCGAATGATAGCATGTCAATGTTAATCGCATTGCTTTGAGATTATTTATTTATTTTAATTGAAAATTCCAATACAGCAGAGGAATGTGTATGAGACAGCCATTAAAACGTACTCGCAATTGCTTGTTCTGAGCGAGTATTTAAAATTCCTTTGACTGCAAACTGAATACCTTTGAAAGCTTTTATAAAGTGAATGTATTAAAAAAAAGGCGATTTTATACCGCCATTACAAAAATACTGTAGTATGTGTTAGCCTAATATAGAAAGGCCCCAAACTCATTTCCATTCGAAATTCTGCTTTGTACGATAACCGGCGGAATACACAACAAGAAGAATTTCTTAACTGAACAACTTAAGTTTTTATAAAGTTTCATAAGTGCTCGGTCAAGAAACAAAAATGTCACATTGGATATTACGTTATTATTAAACGTAATTTAGTCCCATGGAATTTTTGAAAACAAGTATTATCTTAAGAAAAAATAAAACGATTTTCTGTAATATCGTAAATTTTGTATATCATACCGCAAGTTTAAAAAACGTTTTTCTACTCAGACATACGGAAATATTATTAAAAACATTTTTCATTCAATGTCGTAAATCTTTGTCTAATATCGTAAATAAAAACGGACTTTTTGCAGAAAGTTTTAAAAAATTACGATAAAAAGGTGTTGTGCAATATCGTAAAAACACAACAAACCAGAAATTAGTATCGCAAAAATGTTATATGTTTATGTACATATGTAGCTAAAAGAAAATTATGCATGCTAGTAAGCATATTTACTAACAATATAACGGATTTTGATAGTATCGTAAATAAAACCATGCCTACTTTTGCATACAATCACTTAAAATAAACAAGGCACGCGAGTGACCTAAATTTCGCGCACTCAAAAACTCCAAACTTAAGCCAACATCGAAACAAATGTGCCAAACGAAAATTTTCGCAATTAAACTAATTCACTTAAAACTACAACAAACCAAACTTAACGCAAAAGCAGTGAAAGGTTACAACAACAACAACAACAATGCATGCGCCGCGTCGTCAAAATGCGACGCCGATTCCTCTTCATTCCTCACTCACTCACCTCTCGTCTCGGTGGATGTATATTATTCGATATTAATAAATCACAATTACTACTAATATTACTACCATACGCCCCGCTGCTGACGGCAGCCACTGGCACGCCCACTCCACCACCACTAATACCACTACCACTACTGATGCCAGCAGTGGGCTGGTCAACAATCACGCCAGCCGCTTTGTTATTGTTGTTGCTCAAGACAGCTGTTGCGCCTAAATTGTTATTATTAAAAAATTGCGGCTGTTGCTGCTGCTGCTGTCGTTGTTGTTGTTGTTGGTCCTCGACGGCCGCTGAGGCGAATGCCTGCTGCAGGTGGTTGCTGGAAATGGCTGTCGAGTACTCGGTTGTTGGTGTCGTGGAGCCACGGGCTGTCGTCGTTGTAGCCGCTGTCACGCCGGCTGTTTTTGTTGTTGTTGTTGTTGCGTTTGTGGCAGCTGTCAGCGTGCGTTTCAGTTCACCCACAGCGGTCGCAGCCAGCGGTGAGGTGGAGGTTTGTGCATCGACGAGTATTGTGCTGGGGATCTGCAGCGGGGGCGGGATGTGTGGGTGCGACTTCGCTTGTTGTTGCTGTTGCTGCTGCAATAGCTGGCTAGTTGCTACCGCAGGCAGCACCACCGCCGACGTGGTGGGTGGCAATTGTGCGTGTTTGTTGTTGTATTTTATAAAGTTAATGCTACAATAATTGGCGCCAACGCCGATCAAATCGTCGTCGTCGTCCTCCTCCTCAGCGACAGCCAAGTGCTGCAGGCTGCTCGCTATCGTTGGCGTTTGCAACTGTTGCAGTTGCGCCAGCTGCGCTACCTGTGCGGCCTGCTGTTGCTGCAGTTGCAGCGTTAATGGCGGTGGTGGTTGTTGTTGGGCTTTACCTGCGATCGCTGATTTCGGTGCGGCAGTCACTGCCGTCTGCTGTTGTGGGTGCTGCGGCAATTGTTGTTGCTGGTAAATGCTGCTGCTGCTGTGGTTGGCTAGTTTCGTTGCTGTGGCCGCGGCCACTGCCGCCGCTGTGCTTGCGCCCACAATCGCTGCTGTCGTCTGATGAGAGCTGCGATCAGCTACACCCACCGAGCTCTGCACCGCCGACGCGTGCACAACAGCTGCTGTTGTGGTGATGCCTGTCGCCGTTGCCGCGACGGTTGGCGCAAACGTCGACGAGGTAATGAGGCCGGCAGTTGCTGCGGTGGCGGTGGTGACTGTCGAGCTGCTGCACGTAATCTGAGTGCTGGTGAACGAGGTGACGTAAATGGGCGAGGCCTCGTTGAGGAAGCTCAGATCCTGTTTCTGTGTCGACTGTGAGCCGCTCTTCGTCTGCTGCAGCTGAAATGAGGAAGAAGGGGAGACAGAAGAGAAGAGAATTAAAATTTGCAGATATCTGATGGGAATTTATTCTAAAAAAAAAGGGAAGAGAAGCCTTAGCAATTCTCATAGTCTGGTAGCCACAAAATAAATCACAGAATTTTTGCTATATTTGAGACGCGCCTTAATTTTGTGTGAAGACGTTTAAATTTGCATCGAAAATCGGTGCCGCAAAATTATCTAGCATTCAAAATTTGCATATGAGGATCTAAAATTGACGTAAAACGATGACGACGTAATCTATACACTCAGAAAAAACACTTGATGGGCACAGGAGGAAAAGAATTCATATAAGTTCCGATTAGCTTGTCTTCTTTTCGAAAAACTGCAAAGAACTTTGTAGTCGTGGGGCGAACGCAAGGAAGATAAAAGTACTTCTTCCCTTCGCTCAGTTCAAATAATCCTTTCGAGCTTTAATATCGGCTTCCATAAACGTTTTTCAAGTTCTGAAACCTCACATTCAATTGATTGCCCCTACGGTAAGTGAAGTCGGTCGCCAGTGGCAAAAAAACTAGCGCAGCGAATCTCTGGTAGAAAACAAGGAGGAGCGGGTCGGAGATTTTGGAGCACCATTAAGAAATCTGTTGAAATTAATTAATTGATTAAATCTGGGCGTGAATGGCGGCATACGAGACCGAATGATTACTCGTTATTTCGTTAATCTAAGAAAACGACAACTGTTTTCTTCCCAGTACAATAGAGCACACTCACTATCGCATGCCGTGGTCTCAAAATAAAAGTGCGATTCGAGATACGTTTCATATCGAATACCGCGATTCGAGGCGCGAGGTGAACATGGCTCGATGTAGGAATGATTCAACTCCAAATCTTTTTTCATTCTCAAATAAAAATTTTTATATGGTCATATTAATTGTGCAATTTTTTTCTTGTATGTTTTTAGAAAAGATGGAAATATGGAGTTAAAATCCATATCGCAGCGAAATATATAGTTTGGTTACATGTAGTAAAATTTCACGAGGAATATTTTTATGGAATATTTTAAGCCATTACCTCTCCCACGAAAGGGTTGTTTGGACCGCTACTTCGGAAAGTGAGAATAAAATAGCGTTTGGCAGGTAGCTAGAGGGTTACAATTTCAAAAAAAAAATTATTCGCCAGAAAATTTTACTACTGAAAAATTTCACTACTTACTGAAGACGTCTTATGGTGATTTCGTTTCTACTAAAAAATGTCGCCTCTTGATTGCCCTTTTCTCTTTTCGTGTTCGATTCTAAATTAAAGGCAAAGGGTGAGAAAATTGTGTGTTCGTTTCTTGAAATGTCACACTCTTGTAAGGCAAAAAAGGCACCTTTTCTGCCCTTTGAAGCTTTGTCAGGGGAGATGGTTGCCCTGAAAATCAGATGGTTGCTTAAAACAAGAAGGCAAAACATGCATTTTCAAAGGGTTGTGTGTAACATCAAACACATTTTGCACCATGCAAGGGCAACATTTTTTGGTAGAAACGAAATCACCATTAGGTCAGAAATTATAATTTAAGTCGCTTAATACGTACATAATATTTTCGATAGATTAAACCACTTTCGGCCAAAATGTAAAAACTTCACTCTCCGTGAAACAAAACTTAGACCAGAGAGGGTCTAATACTGTCTTCGGCAGTGTTGGTCAGAGAGACATCCTCTTTCATAATATATAGTGTTTTTTCGTGTTGGACTGCGTTATAACTTGCTAACCAGTTGTCAATACAAGTAAATTTTCAGAGCTCCGTCTAGATAGGATAACTTATTTACTCGCGAGCGAATCAACACATTTTGTTACTTCTAAATGATTCAACGAAATTATCTTGACGGCAAGTAACGAATCGTTTGCGAATTTAATTTTGATTGCTAAAGAGCAGAATTAGTGTGAAAAAAATTATTTTTTATAAGTTTTTGGCTATCGATCGAAAAGGTGTATGAACATCTTTTTTCTCTCTCGCTCTTCTTTTTTTGATTCTCTGACATTTGAATGGCTTATTAATTCTGCGATGGTCAATCATTTTTAAACACCTACGTTTTGTATATCGATGATTCTACTACCACAACTATAATTTTATTTGAGAGCAGGAATGAGATACGCACCACTTTGACAGCATTCGAAACATATCAATACCAACTCGCAAAATTGTTTATTTCAGCGGCGCAATTCTCTCACTTCTTCCTGGCTTCCCAATAAGTGTGTATACAAACTGTCGCAGAGCACTGCCGTAATTTTGCATATTGAAAATCAAGCAATTTATGCAAAATACACGCCACGCCCGCTTGTCTAGCCAGGGCGGGCAGTAATAAAAAATGCAAGCGAGTCGAAGGAAAAAGCGATAAATGAGACATAAATGAGACGCTGTGGGAGCGCAAATATACAGGCGTAATTTTAAACAAACACACACACAGTTCAAAAATATTTGAACCCATTTTCAGAGGACGTGTATAGCCCAGAGTAGGAAGGCTTGAGCTGGCGTTGTTTGAACTGCCTGCGAAGCTCCAGAAAAATGTGGGTTTGGCGCAACTAAAGTTTGGATTCCTTAACAAAAGCCAACGCATGTCACACCCATTCAGCCGTACGCCTATGGCACTTAATCAACGGCAACATGCTGTCAATGACAAAGATTTCGAAGCAACAAAGACATAAAAAAAAAACCAACGGAAAGGGTAAGAGTTTCGAAAGGCATTTAATAATTTTGTGAATAATAAATCTTAATCCACTGAGAATTATACAAACTACATATGTAGGTTATGTACATAAATATTTGTGTAAAGTATATGTACTTTTTGAGATATTTTGTATATGTCTTTGTAGTAGTAAGTTGATAATTAAATTTGTCCAAACAATTAAGCTGTTATTGTTGGTATACAGAATAATTATTGACAGCAATTTACGACAACCACACGCCTAGTTTGGCATGACAGGATCTATGTATGTATGTACATAGCGTGATCATTGTCATGGTATAGGTTATAGTATTGAACATTAAACATTTATAAACAATTGGGCAAAGCCACAGAGCAGCCAGCAGCCGTGAAAGGTGAACAATTTAAGCAGCTTACAAAAGTTTTATGCTTTTTGACATCTGTAGGTATTTATGTACATATATATGTATGTATGTAAATTTCCGCATGACTAGCTCGCATTTTTACTCTGTATCGCTTTCGATTTTTTATGCTGGCTGTTTTTTGTTGTTCGTTTTTATTTTGCTGTTTGTTGTGGAATATTGTCAGCTACGGTGTTGACATGCATGGAAAATTTGTTATGACAAGCGAATGCGATTTTCATAATTAAGAACAGTGACATATGTATGCATAACAACAAAAGCAAAAACAAGGACCAACAGCATCAACAACAAAAACAATGGTCAGCAGCCGGATAAACTCTGTTGTTGTTAAAGAAAAGTGTAGCAAAAAAAAAATTGGCGAGGAGGAAAATTGGCTTTCATAGCATTGCTTAAATAACATTTTGACAGCTGTCAAATGCAGACACAGGCAGCGCTCACCGTTTTGTTTTTTGTTTTCGCTTTTGTTGCATGCGCCTATTGCAACTCTGCATGCAGGATGAAAAAGTGTAGTAAAACAAAAGCTACTCACTTCCATAACGGCATGGAGATGGTGTAGGTGAGTATGTATGTAGTAACCATGGTAACATATGTATGCATAAAAGTGCTTTGTTAATACCCTGTAGGAAAAATTGGGTGAATGAAAGAATATATATCGGACAGAAACTTAGAACTTTTTGCATAAATAGTAAGCGACATGCAATCAAGCGACTATGCAGAAAATGTGGATATGAATGCAAAAAAAAAAAGAAATACAAAAAAAAGGGGGAACAAACAGAATATACATAGATAAAATATTAAATTTCCGAAAAATATAAAAATTATGTAGGAAAATTTATTTTTATTTGAATAGTTTTGGAAAATTTAACAAAATAAATATGTAGTAATAAAAATGAAAATACTTAATGAATAAACTAAAAAAAAAATATATTTTTAAGAACAAAGATAGGAAATTATAAGAAAATTAATGTACGAAAAAATTACAAAAACCACATTAGCAAGAATTCGGAAATAATTTGTTTAAAAAAATGATTTTTAAAAAATTATTTAGTATTGTAAAAAAAATTAAAACAAATTTAAAATTAACAAAAATTAAAAAAAATGGAAAAACTTGGGCAAAAAATTTTAAATTATACATAAAAAAGTTACAAAACTATACACAAGCCTATTTTGTCGTGCTCAGCATGACGAAGTGGGGTGGCTGATGGATATTACCCTTAAATACACCTACCTACCTACTTGAATCAAGAATATTTTGGCTGACATTATGAATCATAATCCTTCACTCTTTCTAAGCTAATCTTGAATAACTTTTATCGAAGATATGTCATTTTTTGATGAACATCCTTACGATACTCAGTACAGCCCGCAACAAAAGATAGCACACCAACATTTTGACTACTTTTCACTACTCTTCCTTTGCTTTTTTTAGGTACGTCAGTTTCTTATTAAAGTCTAAGGTTTATCTAACAAAAGCCATATAAATCCAAATTCCAAACTTTGTACAAAAATTATAAAATCCCACAAACTTTTTATCCCAATGCCAAACACTTTAATTACAATTTGTTAATTAATTTTTAGTATGCAGTTTTATAGTCTATTAAAATTGCTAAAAAATTCCGATTTTTTTTTTTGATTCTTAATAACTTTTTTGCTGAAGATTTTATGCACTTCCCTCCAGATAAAAAATTTATTTGTGTTGTGCTATATTTCACATTGCAAATGGTTTTTTACAAAGGAGTTAACTGTATTTGTTACACATTGCATGTTTCACATTTTTTTTTTTTTTTAAATAATTACATCAAAAATCAGCAAAAGCTAGAAAAACGCTTAGAAACTACATCCGAAATAAGAGGCCAGATCTACCATCAAAAAGGCTAAACTGGCAACAATGGACAGGAGGCCTATAGTCACATTTTAAAATCAAAATAAGTCGATATTCCGGATTTCTAGACGTTAGTCTGACCGTGTTCTTTTTTGGCATGACTTTACAGGTTCCTAGAACCGTGCCATTTCCCATCTTGCACCATTCATTTAACAGTGTTAAATTTTCTCTCTCTTTGTAATTTCGAAGAAACAGCATGGAAACTTCTCACTTCCAAATTCCTAAAACACCATTCTCGCAACACATTTTCATTTCCTACAGGGCCAGCACGCACTTTTGTTTGTACGTATCACTTTCACTTTTATTCGCTACAGCGGCATCGTAAGCTCAATGCATTTTTTTGTGCTTAAATGTCTGTTGCTCACACCTTGTAGCATATTTCAATACATGCCATCTATGCCACATCAATAAAACAGACAATCATGCCAGCAGCGCAACAACAACAACAACAACAATATTCGATTGGCAACATGCTTTGCAAGCAGCAATGGCCCACCACACAGCCAGCAACCAACCCACCAGTCAACCACCCATCGCCCCCAAACAACGCTAGCCAGCCACTCGGTCAATTAGGTAGTTAACTATCCAGCCATTAGCAGCGTGGCAACAGCCCGACTTTTGGTCTACTGCTAACTGCTTACCGCCTGCCTACCCAGCTATTGTCTGACTCATATTCCATTCTCAGCGTCCGCCAACTGTTACCGCAAGTGTTCATTGTTTAATTGCTGCTCCATTGGCGGACTGGCTGACTAACTCTGCTAAGCTTGTGAAAAAACTAAATTTATTGTTTTTGCTTTTTCTTGTTTATGCACGTTTTTTCCTTTTGTTTATTTTTGTTTTCCGCATTGTCTCGAGCGGCTGTTGTTCCAGCATCAGTTGTAGCGAATTGGTTAGAATTTCAAATTGATTTGCTCCGTCAATTTAGTACTACATAGAGTCAAAAGCCATGTAATTTATTTACTTGTATCTCAGTCTCAGTGAGGGCAGAGGATACAAAGGCTACTAGAAGGGGATAGTATATGTTGAAAGTGTGTCCGAAAGTTTTTTTCATTCTCAAAACAACGTCCTCTCAGAATGTAGAATCATCCGGTACCCATGCGAAGCCAGTGACTTATTGCAGTGAGAAAACTGCTGAATTGACTTAAGTCAGCTCTGTCCGCACGATTAGCACGTAGATCGGCACATCTCATATTTTGTAATAGTCAGCAATGGACTCAGAAGGTTGCAAGGTCAAAGCCTCACTCCCAAAAAGTCTTTAAATAAATTACAGGCCCCAAAAGTATGCATCAGCTTTAGATGAGAATTGCTTGATTTTTGTACTTTTAGAAATAGCCAGATGTATACCATTAAATTAAGGCCTATTGTCTATTTTTAAGCAAAGTTAGGTTAGGTTAGGAGGACGTGTGGAATATTCCATACTTTCACTAGGGGATAGAATTGTCCATTCTGAGTGCCCTCTTTTAGTTAGTGCAAGAGTAGCTTTAAGTCACTATTCTACTGAACCAATTACTATCACTGATGAAGCCAAGGAGATCCAACAGTTCCACCTTCAGACTGTTGAATAAATATGAACACAAGTGATTGAATCACTTCGTCTACAGACCTGGACATCGACACCGATAGTGGTGAATTGAATCTTCCTCATTCTCATATTGCCAGCCTCTGCAGAGAGTATTTGTTGGTATTCGCTACCGTTGAAGCATTGGTGCTATAGCGGTGTCTTGTGATGACACCTGTAAGGCCTCATACTGCAGAACTATTCAGTCTCAGTGTGTCCCCTGCCTTTTTCCTACTAGCGGCGACCATAATACGGTTGTGGTCTTACAGTCTCCCGTTTGTTCCACAATGCATTCGTCACGTCCAAGGTGTACTCATTAATTTTCCTAACGTGATCACTAAACGGTGGTAGTACGGAGCTATCCGCTTCTTCTATTGGCATATCTGAGCCGCATCTAGCCCTCTCATCAGCCGACTCGTTCTCTTCAATATTTCTATGTCCGGGAACCCAGCATGGAGTGACGTTGATACGGCTCAGTGACGCCAGCATGGTGCGACATTTCCATACAATTCCCGATTTCACTATTTTAGATCCTATTGCTTTCGATGCTGTCTGACTGTCGACAAAAATAGTGGCTGTTATTAATTTAGAAATTTCGCTAATCGCTTTTAAGTCTTGTTGCAGGATGCTAAAATGTCAGGGACCGAAATATTTAGATCGTTGCGAAATCGATATTATTTGATTTTTAGTTTTTTCGGTCATATTTGATCGTTATTTCGTGATCTTTGTTCTTTTTTTAGAGTAAAAGTAATCATTATTTTGGATTTTAATTTTTTCAATAACTTTAACCGTTATAATAGAGACTGCGTTTTTATGACTGATTTAAATCTTTTATGACCTAAAAAATTAAATTAAAGTAACAATTAAAAATTGATCCAAAAAAGTTAATTCATAACATAACAATTATATTTGATTGAAAAAATAGAAATCCCATTTTAAGTGTAAAATTTTGATTTTTATTACAAAGATCATAACCGTTATCTCTTTTGGGAGCCCCAGCCCCATTTTTGTTTTTCATTTTATTAAAAAGAAATGTTTGTCCCTAAATTTTGAACATTATTTATTTATTATTGCTTATTTTGTTGCCATTATCCGCTACTTCCAAATGATGCGATAATAAATTTTTTCCACCCAACTAAATTCCGCATAATTCGTTCTTTGACCTTCCGCGTGGCTGCTGTGGTTTCTACACCACTTTAAAAGTTGTTTTTGTTATACATTTAAAACAACTCATTGTTGTTGCTGTTGTTACGCTTGCTCTTAAATGTACACAGCTACTAAAAATTGTATCTAACAGATACTAGAAGCATAATAATAAAGTTTTTTCCGCCACTCCATTCGTCGTCGCCACTCCTTCCTTCCTGCACCGGCCGCGCGCATTCTCAGTGCTGCGATTTGTGAGTGGCGCTTGAAGCGGTTGTCTCCCACTGCCTCATATCCTGAAGACCGACAGACAGCGCAGCGCCGCGCCACGACACTCACAACTTGCCTCTGCTTAGCGCTATGAGTTTGGACTGTGCGTTTTGTGGATCTTTTATAAAGTTTAAGTTCGTGGAAAGTTGTTGGTGGTTGCGCTTTTAGCAGCGTCAATCCAAGGAGGGAAGCGTTGCTCTAGCAATTTACTATTTGCTGTGAGTTTTTTCTCCCTTTATTGTTATAATTTTCCTAGCACTTATTGTTGTTGCCAGCTGTTGACTTTGAAGTACTCGGTCACGGGGCGTTTACACGTTTCACACGGACACGAGCACGAGCGAGGCAACGGTTCGCAGCAGAGGTGCAAGTCAGGGGGTCCAAACAATCAAAAGCATACGTGGCAGCGGCGATATGAGGGGATTGTGGTAGGAGTCTGAGCAAAAATAGTACCCATGACTCAGCTCAGCCACCAGCCAGTTAAATGCGCCAAAGGATACACCAAAGCGCAAACGATTCAATAAAAATTGGACTCCCTTCAGCTAAAGTGAACTGCCAAACCGGTGTTGAAGCTCCGCTTGTTGATGTGTATGGGAATGCTGGTGACTGCCCGCTTAATGGCTCAGCAAGCAAGCTCACGCATGTGTTTGTAATGGAAACATAAAAGTTCAAGAAGGAAGGCATGGCATGTCCTTTGGCAAACATGTGAGTGTATGAACTTTCTTCATAACTTCAACAGCTTGTAAAATTTATGTTTTAATTAAAATATTTGAGTTCTCCAAAGTTAGGAAGTTTCTCTTTCGTTTTATGTGGACTTTTGCCTCACTCTTCCTGATGCCGCAGCAACTGCGCCTATGAATTTTGTCAACCACTTCTTCTGTATGAAAAAAATTGATACTTTCGCTTCCGATACTTTATGGCAGAAGTCCTAAAAACGAGTTCGTCGCTGAAAACTTCGCAGCATAACAAAAATTCTTTCATACGCCGGTTGAGAATTTGCAAAAGGCACAAATCACTTAAGCAACTACTTTTGCATACTTTTAGGCGCACTTTAGCGCACTTATTGTATGCCGAAGACAGTTCTCAAATTTACTATATACATACACACATACTATTTTGCTTACTCACCGTTTTCGATACCTCCGTTATGTCCACCGGCGTTACCCGATTCAACGCCGCCAAACGTTTCAGTCGCTCACGCGCATGCTCCTCGACAGCAATAACGAAGGCCTCCTGCACCGAATTGCCAATGTCCCAGGCTGAAAATTAAGAGAAAAATTAAAGGTTACGATCGAAGAACACAAGGGGAATATATGTAGATAAAAAGCTTGAGAACTTGATTAACTATAATGTATATTAAACAATTTAATTTAGTTTGAACTATATTGGATTTGATTTTCCACACAATCCATTCAAAAGAATTCAATTTCTGTGCATACGTAAATTTCTCTAGAAAAGCTCTAAAAAAAAAAGAAAAACCCGTCGGCAAATCGTTTCCCCAGCCGGAGCCAACGTCCGGTGTTGCAATCAATGGCCTGCATTTGACAAGCACAACTTTCTCGATAGTAACACACAACGAGGACACACGTGGCATGTTGCAACCACGCTGACACATTCACTAACCGTCTCACAATCATTGTCGCCCCATTTGCCTACTTTTGCCGCATTGCCACAATTTAAAGCGCACCGAAATTGGATTTCCTACACCTGACAACCTTCCCCTTCCCCAACAAAGGCAGGCGCAAATGCAGCTGAATGTAACATGCCGCACATGCGACACCGAATGCGATCACTTAATAGCGCACCGTTGCATTAGATTCGTGTCCAGCGCACAGGAAATTGTGCCAGACAGCCAGACAAGCCGCGCTGGCAGGCAGTCACCACACACCTCACACCAGACCCGACTTAATTGCGGCGACCTGGGCGGCTGGCGAATTGAGCGCAACGTCCGCCCATTGATGGCGGTGGTTTGGCGAATAGGCCGCCGGCCCGGCAGTTTCGCGTTTGATCAGTTTCATGCCACAGATGTAAATTGGCAGCTGCAGCTGCCACTGCCGCGGCCACAGCACAGACAGCCTTGGACAACTTTACTGCTTGCGGCCGGCTTGGCTCGAAGAGTTGCAGTTTCTAGTTGCCGTTTGTCAGGAAATGAGCCGCTCACCTGCCACTGACACAATTAAATTCCACTTGGCGATTGCAGGCGATGCGGTTCATGTAGCAAAGGAATGTGGCACGTTGAGTTTTAAGGCACGAAAATTGCTTGCTGCAAACAGGCGGTTTGGCTGCTATGCGGTAAAGTGGTCCACTTGCACCACTGAGAACACTTGGAATTATTTTAAGAAGTTTTTAAATTTTGGGTGGGAATTAGAATGTTAGCAAAAATCCTAAATGAAAAAATTTCAAATAAAAAAAAATTTAATCATTTTATTAATTTTAGTTTTAGGACAGCCGCTTAGGAAAAGTGGTTAGAGGTGCATACTACCACCCCATAGGACCTGCGTTCGCTCCTTGATGGCACCAGGCAATGGCAAACCTCTGAGTGTATTTCTGCCATAAAAAATCTACTTACACAATCCATTTGCTGTTCTGAGGTGACGTAAAACTGTAGAGCCCAAAATTTTTGTAACAGTTTCAAGACGCACAAAAAAAATTCGATTAGAAACTTGGCCAAGCACTCAGCAAAAGTGTAAGCTCCAAAATATTATTTTATTATTATTAGGTTTTTTTCTTGCTTCCTTTTATTCAGAAGTTTTGCGAAATACTTTAATTTTTTTTTATCAAAATAAACTTATTTAAGAAAGTTCATTATTTACTTGTTTAAATTTTAAAATAAAAATTTTAAAACTATCCTCATATATTTAAAGTTATTTCTTATTTAAGTCAAGAAAATTGAAATTGAATGGTTTTTCATTTATAAACTCGTTAGACGCTATTTTTTGTGCATATGTACAAGTAAATGTAAATGTAAAAGTAAAGTAATGCAGACAAAAAATTTATATCAGAAATGTGTCTGAATGTCAAACTTTAGCTTAATAAACTATATTTTGCAATTGCATATTTAAAAAACTTCTAACTTTTTTTTAAGTATTTTAGTTCATGAATTATTTTTTTGCTAACACATTTTTTAACTCATTTTATCTTATAAGCTTATTGGAAAAATACATCAAAAAAATAATTTTTTCATTTTTTCAACACCAGAAAATTTACTTTGCTTTTCATGTAAACTTCTTAGAGCCATTTTCTTATGTGGCTTTTAAAGTTTATCTGCCCCTCAAACACGTTTTTTGAGAACAGAATTTGTCCTTAAATAGCACATAAATTTAAAAGCTACTTGAGAAAATGGGCTTTAACATTTAAAAAAAAATCTTTATTTAAAAATGTATCTGAAAACTCTTTGCGTAAAAAAAAGTAACTAGAAGTCATATTTTTACTTTTTAGAGAAAAATTACTCTTTTAATTTCAAATCTTTCATTTATTAAAAACTTCAAATTTTTTTAAATATCTCAACACTATAAAATGTACCCTTTCAAAAATGAAATAAGGGGTTTTTTCAATCATTCCTTAAAAAAAATTTAGACTATAATTTCCTTTTTCCAAATTCGGGGGACTGAAAATTTTTTTTATTTTTTGAAGCAAATTAATCTAAAAACCTTTTAGGATCAACAACATGAATTTAATTGGAAGTCGTATTTTAACTTTTTCCAGAAAAATTACTCTTTTTAACGCAAATATTTTAATATTTTCATTTATTTAAAAATTACAATTTTTTTAAATATCTCAGCACTAAAAAATTTGCCCTTTCAGCAATGAAACGAGATTCATGATGTCAACGGACAGTATGTAGAGCGAGCAAAGATTTAGATGTAATTTCACTTTTTCCAAAATTGGGGGAAGTTTGAAATTTTTGTTTATCCTTTTTTCATGAAGAAATTGATTTCTAACCATTTTAAATAAAAGGTTGTACAAAAAGGTAAATTTAATGACATTTTTTAAACCTTCAAAGATTAATATGTATATTTTTTTTTAATGACAGTCAGTTTCACGAAAATGATTTACGTGAACTTTTTTTCTATGTTCTTAATTTTTTATTAACTAGTTTAACAACAAAATTCTTTCAGTCAGTAGGAAAAAGTTAGGTGAAAGATTAAATAAAAATAAAACATCGAATTTAATTTCTCCATTAAAAACCTTCGTAAAATTGGCCATAATTCTTTTCTCCCAACACTAACAACAAGTGTTTTTTAAATTTACTTATTTTTTTTAACTAAAATAATTGGCTACAGACAATCAAAAATATTTTTGCCTAATTTAATTTGAAGTACTTTATGGGTTCTATTTTGATTTTCCAATGCAAAATTTCATTTTTTACGAACTTTAATTAGATACCAGTTTTTAAGTAAAATATTTGAATACTCTTTAAAAAAAAATTTGAATATTACTTTTTTGATCAAGGTTATGTACTTAATTTTTCCGTATTTAATTTTTTTACTTAAAAAAAATTGTTATTTATTGTCTTGACCAATTCCTTTTTAAGTCCACCAAACTTGATTTATCACATTGCATATTTCAGTTCTGTTTTAGAACATTTTGTTGAGTTTAATTTTTCTGGAAACCAAATTTAACACATTAAATTTTTATTCCGTTTCACAACTTTTGTTTAAATTAAACTTAAAAAATTAAATTAAAGAATTTTTGCTGATTTTCAAATAAAATGAAATTTGTTTCAAAATTTTTGTGAAGAAAATTTAAGTTTTCTATTGCCAGTTAGAGGCATTTAAAGCTAAAATCAAGGCGACTTCATATAACGTGGTGGTGTTGTTTCATTGGCTGTGAATGGCGTGTGATTGTCAAAATTTTGTATTTCGCTAGGCGCGCTTTTTCCTTCGGGGAAGAATAGTTGAAATTTGACAACGGGTCGCTAAAAGCAACAAGAAAATGTTAGTAATTTTTGTTTTTGTTGAATCGATACCAGCTTATATGAATTCGCCTTGGCTAAGATATTTATTTTCCAATACCTTTACTGCGACAACAATTTACACCCACACCTAATCAGCTGACAATCTATTTTTAATAACAGTAAATAAAATTCAACAAATATTTCCACTGATTTCTAATTTAATTGCCGCTATAAGCTACGAGGCCGCAATAAAGCATAATTCCCGCTCTAACTACATAGACAGCTACAAATCCTCGCTCTCCTCACCGCTGTTGTAGCCACCACCACCACCACCACCACCGACAGCTAGTCAGTCAGCCGGTTGGTTATTCATTAGCGTAATCTTCACAAAAATCGCGTACACATAAAACATTTTTAATTAACACCGATTTAATTAAATACCATTTGCAGCTACAACAACAACAACAACAACCACCACATTAGCCTCAATAGCAACAATCGAGTAATAACAAAAAATTGATAACAACAAGTGTTTGAGTGGCAAAGCAATCGCAGGCCAGCAACAAAACAGAAACAATTCAAAGCTGCGGCAATGAAGGTTCCACGAAGGGGCAGCGAGTGCAGGGGAGTCTGAAGAAACAAATTAGAGGAAAAATTGTTAGGGGCGAAAGAGTGCAAGAAATCACAAAAATATGCAGCAAGGCAATCGAGTGTTGCACCGCTTACTGGCGCTATGGTATGGTTGTTGTTGCATGCAGTCGTGCAGACATTAATGCATGGAAAAATGTTCGCCGCTCGCATAATTCAAGGTGAAATGTTAGCAATTCATTGTAAATGCTCGCAAATCGTTGGCGAATCAAAAGGAAAAAAATAAAAAATAAAATTTACCACAAAGAAAATTATTTAGCAGAAATGCCCAGAGTACGTTCAACAGCTTAGTGCTGTTATTGTTGTTGTTGCATGCGCGGTAAGCAATTGCAATGCAGACAGACGGACCGCCAGCCAGCCAGCCAGCCAGCCAGCGAAGCAGCTGGCCTTACTTTCCAACATTTTGTTGGATTTTTTTATGATTTCCTCATTTTCTTGCGCTGCCAACATTTTCTGCAATACCATTGATGTTTTCCTTCTCTTCCACTCACTCCTCTTTCTGCCTCCTCTACGCCTGCTGCTATGGAAAAAATTAATTGAGCTCCGCTTGCGAAAGTCGTCCGCCGCTGAGGCTGGGGTGAAAATGTGGGAAACTCGGGAGTCGCTTTGCCAATGGCAGTGGCTCAATGGCAAAACGGCTGTCAGTGGCGCAAGAAAACAGTGCCATAAATTCAACTCCTGCAACATACGAGCCGCGATGCAAACTGTGGATAA